CAAATTTGGGCAAAGCAGATGGGCAAGATATTGGAAGTGAACCCTCTCTCTCCTTATATCCCACGAGGAAGCAAAGTTTCAAGAGCCTTCAAAATTGAATTGAATCCCAGGAACTTGGAACAGAGTCGTAAACAGTAATTAAAAGTTGAGAGTTGTACCCGGGTGTTGGGAACTTCTCCGGTCCATGCTTGGCCCAACTCAATTCTGGGGATACCCTGGCCATAAAATAAAATACAGCTCAGTGTCTGCACCCCGGCCCATCCTGATTCTCCACTCTCACGTCACTGCCCCGTGCCCGCCCACCAGCCTACCGCTGTCTTGGTTGCAACGAGCTTTGGTAATAACGTTTTCTGGCGATCTTGGGACCAATGCTTAGTCTGACACCAGAGGAATCAACTAAGGGGCAAGGTCGAGACGATAAGTGGAGACTTCCCAAGTTCCCATTAACGCCTCGGGGCTCAAGCTAATCTCACACCATGCCCGTTATCTTTCTCAAATCCCCATTGAGAATTGACGTTGAAGTTAAATTTTCGTGATTTGCTCGATGAGCGCACACCTCAATGATCTACTAAACCATCAGGCTGGCTTGTTGACATTGTTTAAGCGCTGATCTCTCACCAATTTTTTTCCATGTGGATTGCGACGACGGTGGTTCTCTGGGGTATCCTCTCGGGATTTGGATTATTAGCCCAATCACAGCTGTTTGTAAATTTCTTTTTTGGATTTTCGTTGGCTCGCTGCCGTCGTATGCAGTCTCAGAACCTTGAAATGGAAAATTTGCTTGTCAGATCTCCAGGGAGGTTTGTTGTATAACCCTGCTCTAAGTGGATCGGAAGAGAATCGCCGGTGTCAGGTATGTCTGTGTTCAAATGCGAATTTCCGGGAGAGTTATAGCTCCACACGTTAAGGGTCTTAGAGTCTTGTTCGTCAGATTGAGTTCACTCCACCAATCTCACCGGAAATAACCAAACATCCCGGTCATTTCTAGGTCGTTCGAGAGCATGGGTTGGAGAGTTCAGTAACGGAGAAGAAAGTATTTCTTTCCATCAGTTTTGAGAAAGTAGAATGTATTATAAGTTCCTCTCTCATGTACGACTGACTGTACGGTATAAACAATGAAGAACGCTGTCGGAGTATTGTTATAGACCACGCATAAACTTCGACAGCAATCTCATCTTTCTCAGCCAAAATGAGAATTTTAAATAGAAATATATCAATCACACCTTGGTAATTTACAATCTTTGATGTATTTTATTTACATTGTATAGAAATTGATGAAAAACCAAGTGCACAATACTTAACCACGTACTGTAAGTTTGAAATATATCGACTTGTATTCAACATAGGAAAAGAAATATACTAGTACAGTACATAGGAACTTGAGGCACTTATATGACCATTACCAGCTATCCTATGAGCTGAAGCTAAACAGTATGCATATAGATAAATAGATATCCTTCTCACGAAGATTTCCAATCACTTTGCTTTCCAGTCAATACAGTTAGTTAGTCTCAAATAAGGTCTAAATGGGAGAGTTAATGATCATTCAGAAAGATATTCCCTTTACCCTTTCCGCCCATTTTGCCTGGCAGTATGGAGATTTTTCTCCTTCAAAACCAAAAAAAATGTCTAGGAAGCAAGGAAAAGAAGCTTACGCAGGAAGCTTAACTTAGTTATTTTGCTCTATGCTTCTGTACAACAGACGAATTCCTTCTGACAATCTGAACGCCCCTACCCAGCACTATGTCCCCAATAGACACATCTTGCTCTCGCTTGCGGAACTGCTGCAGATCTTGAGACATGGAAATTAATTTATACAGCCAATGAACAGTTTAGATTCACTATTTTTATTACAGCTCATAATTTCACATCCTGGAGCAGTTTTGTTCCCAGAGTTGATGGAGTCGGCATTTGACACTTTCGGATACTTATACTTTGCAGTTGAACTGCATACAGAGAGAGCTATTCAGCGGCACGGGATCCATTGTCGAAAACCCAAAAACATGACAATTTTATCCAGGACTCCAACACTCTCCTCAATTTTTGGGCCAAAGCTGTAGTTCTCAAGCGGATTGCAGGAGAGGAAACTAGATGCCCCAACTTTGCGAATAGAATGGGATGAATTCGCATGTCCGGGGGTGTTGGCAGCTTCTACAGCGGATGATTGCATTACCTATTTTTGAGAGCAGTGTGACATATATCACTAATATCAGTGACTGTAGTTCTCGGATTGCTCTATACAATACCAAAATGCAGATGTATCCAGTAAAGTCATTATGAATCACCCTCGGGGTTATATTTGAGTTTGTCGAGTCCTGGAATAGATTTCATCTCCGACGAAATCATACCCTGCCGTCGGCCCTCACCTTTCGAGATCTCTTGATTGATCCTTAAAATAGAACGAATAGGCCCAGGTTTGTTTTATTCCCCCGCACGGGTCATGAAATCATTTGGTCAATCGATCCAAAGTTACTGTCCGACTTGGAAATGAACGCTTTCCTGTTTCTCAGCACGTAATTTGCACTCAACCATACAGAAGGCGTATCTTTAACATGCGCCTATGGTCGTAATATTTCGGTCCCGTTTCTCTACTATTTTTAGTATCGGTCGTCTTCAGGTAAGGAGCGAACCCTCGTATTTATCCCACTGGAGATACATCGCTGAAGAATGCAAGTTCCCTCGGGTCTCCAGCGGCCGCCCATGCATGTGGACCGAGGCCAGCGAATCTTCACCAGATCCCCTAATCTCGATCCGCTGGACGGGCGGCATTAGTCACTCGTATTCCAATGCGCCAAATTTTTGGCAAGTTTATTGACCATTGACCATTGACCATTGACCACTGGGTTCGCGCTTTGTTTCATGTCAGGAATTGTAATTGTCCTAGCTTCACTGACTTGCTGGCCACTCACGCTTCATGAGGAGAATTAATCATAATATGACAATTAATCAACGGGAATGCAGTTTGTGCGTACAAATCTTTGGTTTCTCCATTTGTTCATTGAATATTGCCCCATGGTCTGGATGAAAGGTACTACAGTTACATTCGAATCTGCTCGAAGTTTTCCACGTTTCGGTGTATCAACCTCGCCTCCTGACAATTA